AAAGAACCGCAGAGCCAAAAAGGGCATAAAGTCTTGAAAATTCCTCTCTTCAATCCCACCATGCAATCAAAACTAGTCCAGGAGACTGCATTAACCATATTATGCCAGCTGTTCAGTTGGTTACCTTTTGTCTGACGTGATGTCTATCTTAACCAAGAACTGGTTGGTCCAGCTCCCTAATGAAGGCTTTATACAATTAGCAGGCACTACAAGCTGGTATTGTACTTCAAAGATTCATTTCTCCGTGGGAAAAGAATGACTGCCTAACTGAGGATAACCCCTAGCCTGACCTTAGACTTTTATAGATTAAATGAGATAACACAGGCCAGGCAGCATCAGAGGAGTAGGAAAGTTGACATTTCGGGTCGGGACCCTTTTTCAGAAATGGGGGAGGGGGAAGGGAGCTCAGAAATAAATAGAGAGAGGAGGAGTGGGGCTGGGGAAGGTAGGTGAGTGCAGGTAGGGAGTGGTGAGGATTGGTCAGTGAGGTGAGAGGAGCGGGTAGGTGGGAGAGAAGATGGACAGGTTGTGTAAGGTCAAGGAGGCAGAGATGAGAGGGAGGGTTGGTCATGGGATGAGGCCAGGGATGGGGAAATTTTGAAACTGGTAAAATCCACATTTAGGCCATTGGGCTGTAGGCTCCCGAGGCGGGATATGAGCTGCTGCTGCTCCGGTTTCCGGGTGGCGTTATTGTGACACTGGAGGAGGCCCAGGATGGACATGTCACCAAGGGAGTGGGAGTGGGGGGTGGGATTTAAAATGGTTGGCGACTGGAAGGTGTTGTCATTTGTCATGAACAGAGCGCAGGCGCTCTACACAGCAGTCTCTGAGCCTCCGCTTGAACTCACCGATGTAGAGGAGGCCACATTGGGAGCATCGGATGTGATAGGCCACATTGACAGATGTACAGGTGAGCCTCTGCCTGATGTGGAAGGTTTGTTTGGTGCCTTGAATGGAAGTGAGCGGGGAGGTGTAGGGTCAAGTGTAGCACTTCCTGCGGTTGTAGGGAAAGATGCTGGGGGTGATGGGGTTAGTGAAGATGTGGAGTAGACAAGGGAGTTACGGAGATAGCGGTTCCTACAAAAGGCGGATAGGGATGGGGAGGGAAATATATCTTTGGTTGTAGGGTTGGACTGCTGGTGGCAAAAGTGGCGGAGAATGATACGTTGGATGTGGAGGTTGGTAGCGTGGTATGTGGGGATAGAGGTGCAAGAAAGACAAGAAATGCAGTTGAGAGCATTTTTGACCACCGAAGTGAGGAAGTTGCAGTCCTTGAAATACGAGGACATCTAGGATGTTCGGGAGTGGAACTCCCCCATCTTGGGAGCAGATGAGGTGGAGGCAGAGGAATTGGGAATAGGGGATCGCATTCTTGCAGGAAGGTGGGTGAGAGGAGGTGTAGTCTAGGTATCTGTGGGAGACGGTGGGCTTTAAAAAGATGTTGTTTTCAAGGCAGTTATCAGAGATGGAGACAGAGAGATCCAGGAAGAAGAGAGAGGTACCAGAATTGGTCTAGGTGAACTTGAGGTTGGGGTGAAAGGTGTTAGTAAGGTTGATGAACTGTTCAAGCTCCTCGCAGGAGCATGAGGCAGTGCCGATACAGTCATCGATGTAATGGAGGAAGAGGTGGGGGAATAGTGCCAGTCTAATAGCGGAAGAGGGACTGTTCCACGTATCCTACAAAGAGGCAGGCATCACTTGGGCCCATGCAGGTTCCCATGGCCACCCCCTTAATCTGTGGGAAGTGGGAGGAATTAAAGGAGAACTGTTTAAGGGTAAGGATGAGTTTGGTTAAGCAGATGAGGTGGAGGGGGACTGGTTGGGCCTGCAGGAGAGGAAGAAGTGGAGGGCTTTTAGGCCATCCACGTGGGGAATGCAAGTGTACAGGGATTGGATGGCCATGGTGTAGATGAGGTGTTGGGAGCCAGGGAATTGGAAGTCTTGGAGGAGGTGGAGGGCGTGGGTGGTGTCCTGGACGTAGATGGGGAGTTCCTGGACTGGGGGCAGAAAACAGAGTCCAGGTAAGCGGAAATAAGTTCAGTGGGGCAGGAGCAGGCAGAGACAGTGGATTGGCCAGGACAGTCAAGTTTGTGGATTTTGGGAAGGAGATAGATAGGGCGGTGTGGTGTTGGGGAATGATGAGGTTGGAGGCTATGTGGGGGGAGGTCACCTGAAGTGATGAGATTGTGAATAGTTTAAGAGATGATGTTTTGGTGGTGAGGGGTGGGGTCATGATTGAGGGGGCAGTAGGAGGAGGTTCTGAGGAAGGGTCACTGGACCTGAAACGTTAACTCTGTTTTTTCCTTCACAGATGCTGCCGGAACTGCTGAGCTTTTCCAGCAATTTCTGTTTTGTTTCCTGATTTACAGCATCCATAGTTGTTTCGTTTTTCAGTTCAACAAAATGTTTATTGAAAAATTAAGGCTAGTTATTATGAACTATTGTTATGTAAATGGGAAAGTTTCCTTTATATGAATATTCCATTTAACTAAAGGGAGCCATTTTATGAGCTATTATTATTTATTTGTAGTACACATTTGAAAATGTCTGTGTTCAAAGTACTTTGGCATACATGATTTAAATGTTTTGAGATTCAAGATGCACAAAATGTTTCATTTAACAAATTTAAGAAACAGAATTATTAGAGCAAGAAGCAAATTAATGTCTAAATCTTAGTCCAAAGATATTTAAACTTACTTTTGGAGATTTACATCCCGTTCATACCCTGACCTTTTTGTAACATTAGAATACTGTTGCAGCAGAAGTTGCTCTGATTCATCCTTTTAATGTGTACTTGTTGAAGTGTATACAAAACCCATTCTACAATTTGCATGGAAACCTATTTAGCTGCTGGAGTTTCTGTTGTACACAGCGCTAATCATTGTAACTTAAAAGCTCTTCACCCTCAAAACATAAAAAATGGTACCATCATTAAATCTATATTCGTAACAACTTAAAACAAAGAATTGTGGATGCTAGAGATATGAAACAAAAATAGAAATTGCTGGAATTACTCATCAGGTCAAACAGCATCTGTGGGAAGAAAGAGGAATTAACATTTTAGGGGGGCGGTGGGATGCTTTTGGTGGTGCAAGCGAGGCGGGGGGAGAGACAGAGAGAGATGTACGAAAGGGATAGGTAAACAAGGAGAGAAGATAGCATAAGATTGTTAGAAATAGGTACCTTGGCCTAAGGGATTTCAGAAATGTTCGTTATCAGAGGTGTTTGGTTCAGGTGGTGAAGTGGGTATTTGATGCTGAGAAAGTTTAAGCTCTCTTTATATGATTAATCAAGGAAGAAGCTGTCAAATTCTCAAGACTAGGATTTAAAACCACAGATAAGTCAAACCCTGTATGGGATAGAGAAGGCCATTCACTCTGCTGTTTGAGACTGTAATGGCATGCTTTTGGGATTAATATGAATATATTTTTACTGCATATTTTGAAATCTTCAAATGTGTATAATCTGTAAATAGTTTGGGTTATTCTAATATTTTCTTTTATTTTGTGAAATAAACTTCTGCTTTATTCTTATAAACAAATACTGAAAATTTGGCTTCATTTCAGTGAGAGACCACCTCACTAAAAACCAAAAGAAAAGCAAAATATGTTCAACCCAAATTTCAGTCTGGGATTTGATTTGTCCACTAATAACATAGCTAGGATCTTAACCAAATTACTTCTGGTCCATTTTATACATTTTTACATTGACCTTAAATGTTACTGCATGATGCTCACTATCACTGAAAAGCTCCCTAAAATGAGTTTCAGCACCACCCCTTCTCTTGCAGGACTTGAAAAGCTGACTTAGGTACATTTTCACCAGCACCCCTAAGCCTTTCACAATTGGTCCATCCTACTTAATATTGGAAAAATTGAAATCCCCTACTGTTATTACCATCTTTTCACATTTTATTCAAAGATTTTTCTACATGTCTGTCCTTCTATGTCTCTTGCCACTCCCAGCAATGTGATTGCTCCCAAAACCAAAAGGCCTCATTTGAGGAACCTTTTTGAAGATATCACCCCTCCGTACTGCAGTAATTGACTCTGTGATCAATGTTGTCACACTCACATCCCACCCCCCCGCCACCTTATCCACCAAGTATGAAGATTTTATACCATGCAATACTGAGCTGTCAGTCCTATTAATCTTTCAACCGTGTCTCCATGATAGCAATGATGTTGTATTAATCAACCCCCTCCATTCATCTGCTTTTCATGCAAGAGTGTGCATTAAAATAAATGTCATCCACGCACCCTTGAGCCTTGGTTTTTCTTCTATACTTGCCCATGCATCACTTTGTACTGTACCTATACTCCATAATCCAACCCCAGTGTATCACAGAATAGTGAAGCAACATGCTGACATTGTCGTACTCCGTCTTACCATAAACACGATGGTCCAGACATCACCATCACTGAATGGAACCTGTCCACTGCAGAAAAGACCAAACAGAGATGCTGTCATAGTGGTATCACAGTCAGGAGTGACGTGGCCTGAGTGTCCTGAACATAGACTCTCACCCATATCAAGTGTCAGTCAAGCAGGAAACAAGGAAACTGCCTGCCAATTGCAACATCCTCCCCACCACCACCAAGTTCCCCTCCAAGCCGCTTGTCTCCCTCTGGGAAATATATCACCATTCCTTCACTAACTGGGACAAAATGCTTAGCATTCTTCCCCAACACGACCGCAAATGGCCTGCAACAGTTCAAGAAGGTAATTCATCACCACTTCTCAAGAGGCAGCTAGGAATGAGCAATAATGTTGGTCCAACCAGTGATGCCCCATCCTATGTAAGTTGTACCTCACTGTTTCACATGATGGCACAAATTGTTTTTTGTATGCTGAGTTTTATATATGTAGGCTGCAGTTGTTATAAAAGGGGATTCTAGTAATAATAATAACATGCTCAAATATTTTCTAATTGTGTTTTTGGAGTATGTGACCACTTTGTATCATATTACAATTTTTGTTTTTTTTTGACAATCTAACAGAGAAAGCAACCAGTGAGATGAACACTGCGGAAGACTGGGGCCTCATCCTAGATATCTGTGACAAAGTGGGACAATCTCGTACTGGGTGAGTACTTCTTTTCTTGAATACTGCTACTGACTTGTGCAGAATTTGCATCTGCCGTGCAGAGAGAGAATTCATCAGTACTTGTGTAAGTAGAGCGTTCATCATCTGTTTCTAAATTAAGCAGTGCCATGTCAAAGAGTTTGTGTAAAAGTTGGGTATAATCAAGTATAGTTCAGCAGTACCGTTCAGTTGAATGTTTCTTTTTTAAGTGTGTTTTGATCTGGAATGTATGGCTTGAAAAGGAAGGAGGAACTGGAGAAGATGATTTGAATGCACAAATTGAAATAAATGGGTGTGATTTAGTTGCCGGTATAGAGATGTGGCTACAGGGTGACCTTATTAACTAATTAGGGATAATTAGAAATGGGTTACACTCTTAATGAGGGATGAGATCAGTACTTTGGTAAGAGAGGATCTTAGATTGCAGGATCATGATGTAGAATCATCTTGGGTGGAGTTAAGAACTAGCAAGGCAAATATTGGTAGTTGTGTATAAGTCACCAAACGTTTTAATGGTAATGTATAAATTGAGAAATTAGAAGCCCCTGTAACATGAGTAGTACAGTAATAATGAGTGACTTGTGTTCATGCACAGATTGGGCTAATCAAATCAGCATGCACTGTGAAGGATGAGTTTGAGATGGGCTTGTGGAGCACCAGGTTGTGAAGCATTGAGTACTTTGGATCGGGCTATTTTTGGATTTATTGTTGTGTACGTTCCGCACGGTAGACTGGTTAGTAAGGTTAGATCACATGGGATCCAGGGGGATCTAGCCAATTGGATACAAAATTTCCTTGAAGGTAGGAGACACAGGGTAGTTGCAAAAGGTTGTTTTCAGACTGGAGGCCTGTGACCAGCGGCGTGCTGCAAGGATTGATTCTGGGTCCACTGCTTTTTGTCATTTATGTATATATGATTTGGATGTGAACGTAGAATGTAGGAGACTTGCAGATGACACCAAAATAAGTGGTGTAATGTATGATGAAGGAAGTTATCTTTGAGTACAAAGGGACCTTGATCAGATGGGCCAATGGGCCGAGGAGTGGCAGATGGAGTTTAATTTAGATAAATATGCGCTGTTGCATTTTGGTAAGGCAAATCAGGGCAGGATTTATACAGTTAATGGAAGGGCCCTGGGGAATGTTGCTGAACAAAGAGATTTAGGGATGCATGTGCATAGTTCCTTGAAAGTGGAATTGCAGGTAGGCAGGGCGGCGCCAAAGGTGTTTGGCATGCGTGCATTGAGTGTAGGAGTCGGGATTTCATGTTCCATCTGTCAGGGCATTGGTGAGGCCAATTTTGGAATACTGAGTACAGTTCTGGTCAGCCTTCTATAGGAAAAATGTTGTTGGACTTGATAGGGTGCAGAAAAAGTTTACAAGGTTGTTGCTGGGACTGAAAGGTTTGAGTTATAGGGAGAGGCGAAATAGGCTGAGGGTATTTTCCCTGGAGCATTGGAGACTGAGGTTTATTGAGGTTTATAAAATCACGATGGGTATGGATAGGTTGAATAGCCAAGTTCTTTTACCCTGGGTGGGGGAAGTCCAAAACTAGAGGACATAAGTTTAAGGTGATAGCGTAAAAGATTTAAAAAGGACCTGAGGGGTAACTTCTTCATGCAGAAGGTAGTGTATGTATGAAATGAGCTGCCAGAGAAAGTGGTGGAGGTGGGTACAATTACAACATTTTAAAAGGCATCAGGAAAGGTATATGAATAGGAAGCTTTTGGAGGGATAGGTGCCAAATGCTGGCAAATGGGACAGTATCAGATTAGGATGTCTGGTCAGAGTCTGTTTCCTTGTTGTATGACTCTATGACTCTACAAGGAGGGGTTAATTAATAACCTTGATGTAAAGGAGCCTCTGGGAAATAGTGAACATTATCATGAACAGTGACTAATATGATAAGATTTCACATTAAGTTTGAATGCAATGTAGTTCATTCTGAAACTTGGGTCTGTGATCTAAAAGCAAGGAAATTATGTAGGTATGAGGAGCAAGTTGACTAAAGTGAATTGGGAAAATACATTAAAAGATTTGACAGTAAACGGGCAATGGCTGGTGTTTAAAGACTACATGGTCTATACATGATATATATTTCTTTAAGGCACAGACACCCAAAGACAAAGGTACATCAAGGGTAGTTAATTATGGTAATGAAAATACTTTAAAGATTACATTAGGTCAGAGGAAGTCATCCCAGCAAAGGTGGTAAGCCTGAGCTTTGGTAGTATTTAGAATCCTGAAAAAAGGGATAAGCCTTTTTCCCCTTAAGGGAAAAGAGAATAATAAGGTGGACTAGCATGGACCATGAAGGCAGTCTGGAAAAGCTTCGTTTTAAGTATTCAATAGGAAACAATTAACAGGGCAAATGTGTTTCCATTGCACGTGGAATCAGGAGAATCCTACAAATTTTGGAAAAGTTCCTGTAGATTGGAATGTAGCCAGTGGCCCCACAATTGCAGCATTGATAGAGGAGCACCACTGGGTATCGTATATTTGGATTTTCAGAAGACTTTTGATAAGGTCTCACACAGGAGGTTAGTAAATAAAAGTAGAACATGTGGGATTGGGGAAATAGGCCAGTATGAATTATGCATTGTACCAGACAGAAAACAAAGGGTAGGAATAAACTGATCATTCTCGGGATTGTGGGATTTTGCAAGGATCAGTTATAAGTTCACAGCTGTTTGCAAATTCTGTAAATGATGTGAATGTGAGGAACAGTTATGATTCTTCCACATTTGTTGATGACACCAAGCTATGTAGGAAGGTGAAGTGAATGATCTAGAGCATGACATTTGGAATATAATGTAAATGTGAAATTATTCACTTTGGTAGGAAAATCAGAAAGGTAGAATATTCCTTAAATGGTGAGAGGTTGGAAAGTGCAGGTGTCCAAATTTTGTTGACCTTGTTCGTTAGTCACTTATATCAGCTATAGGTGCAGCAAGCAATTTGGAAGACAAATGATATGTTGACCTTCATTTTCAAGGGAATTGCAAGCATACAATAATGATGTTGTCTTGCTGTAATTGAGCCTTTGTTAGATGCTACTTAAGTATTGTGTACAGCTTTAGTCCCTTTACACAAGGAGGTGTGTGTAGCAGGAGTATAATGGTTCGTCAGCTTAATCAAGACTGATGATACTGAAGAATGTGGAGATTTGTAGGAAAGTGGCATTGTGGTAGATGGTCATCCATGCTCACTCTGAATGGTGAAGCAGGCTTGACAGGCTGAATGGCCAACTCCTGTTCCTGTGTTCAACAAGATAGAAAAGTAAGGAAAAGAGACAAGTTTTGAAGTCTGTTTGCTACTCCAGATTCAAATGTAGTTTTCAAAAGGGAATTGGATGTTTTCGTAAGAAAAAAGACTAGAGAGAAGCAGGGATTTGGGACAATTTAGGTGGCTCTTCCACAGACCTTGCACAGGCCTAATTGTCTGAAATCTGTTGTCTTTGCTGTGTAATTCTAAGACTCATTTGGAATTTGGAACTATTTTACATTGCTTTTTTTTTTGTTCTGAAAATGATATTTTCTTCTACTGACTTGCTATCACTTGCATTGACTTTCACTTTTATCTCTCCTTACCCATTTCTGCTCTAATCTCCTTGTTTGAGCTGTGTCCCAAATCCCAGCTTGAGATCCATGCCAGGATTTTCTTAAGCCCTGCTCAACATAATTTAAATAGATTTGTAATCGTGTTTGCAATTATTAAATGTAACTCCTAACACCACCTTGCACCTAACAGTTCTGCCTGTCAGTTACTTTGATTGCAATGCACATTAGCGAGTGGATTTCAGGGACTCGGGGTAAGTATAGTTTACAGGATGTTATTTAGTTACCTGAGTGTAATTCAGTGGGTTAGACTGGCTGAGCTTGCACCTTTCAGCAAGTGACTTTTCCAGGCAGCAGAGAGACTACTTTGGTACATCTGAACAGAATAAGTTTTTTTTTTTTCCCTTTTAACATAGATACTGACACCTATGAGGCACTGTGTTTGGAGCTGGTCATCCCACAGCTCCATGATGAGGGCATTCTGCAAAATTCACATTTTATCTGGTCAAAACGTTTAGCAGTCGCAAAATTAGAGCAGGACACTGACTGGGAAGGAAATAATAATATGCAGGTGTAGAGTGTCTGACTAAGGTGTTTGAATGTTCTTGACACATCTGACTGACCTTTACAATTGATTGTTGTGGTTTTAAACTGCTTGATCACTGATTGCACATGGTTCTTTGCTTCCTTTTTGTTTGGGGTATGCAGTGCATGCATTGCTTTGTCTTTGTTTGAACCCTGTAGCCGATTTAACACGAAAAGGTATCCTTTCAAAACTCTGTACATGATTTGTGCTGTTACCAATATCAAGTTCCCATGGTCCAATCCACTACTAAGTATGTAAATTAGTATATGATTATGAAGGTGTCCATCCCCTATCCCCAGACAGAATAGCAAAATGGACTTCACAACTTTAATTTGGTCTTTCTTATTCTCTTACCTTTGCTATATTTCTCCTCCTGCCACCTCACTTCCCTGTTCTTCATGTTGAATTCCACACAAGTTCATTTATCACCATACACTTCAAAACACTTACATTTATATACTTCATTCTCTTAATTTTTCTCCCTCCGGATCAGAAAGCTCAGATTTTTTGAATTTGTTTCCTCATAACTGAGTCCTTTTGCATCTTGTGGTCTTTCTCTCAACTAACTTCAACGTATTGACAAGAAATTTGAGGCACAGTAGTATTCAAGACTATTCGTTTGACTCGAGCACTGTACAATTCATTACATCCTCTCCATTAAATCTTAAATTTCCATTTGTTGATTGCTTCTCTGCAATGCTTGGATATGTTAGGCACTGATTCTACTAAAGCCTTTTGATCTCTGTTAGTTCCATCATTCATGTCATTTGTGGATTATGTATGATGTCCGTTTTTCTTTTAACATCTAATTCTCTGTCTGTATCGAATTGTAACTATCAATTCTTGTCCAGTCAATTTGAATTGGATTGAGTTTGTTTGTTAAGTTGGAAACATTTTGTACTTTTTTCTTTCAATTGATTACTTACTCCTGTATTATTAATCATTAGGCCAAAAGACTGCTTGAGATCTATTATGAAAAGAGTGAATCACAAGGATCCGCATGTTGCTATGCAGGCACTAACTGTAAGTACTACGTTATTTGTTCTTTCCTCTGCAACAGCTTTGCCCCACCTGCAAAGTTTCTCTCTTATAATGCAGTATTATTTGTGTCTTAGGACTGCTGAACTTTGACATCCCTTGTTTGTTTTTTGGTATTTTGTACCATAATGAGATAGCACTCATTGCTGTCAAAGTGGTGCTACTTTCACTGATTGTGTTTGTCATAATTTTGAAATATGTTCATGATTGAATTATTTCTTCAAAGCTGCTCGGAGCTTGTGTGTCAAACTGTGGCAAAATCTTTCACCTCGAAGTTTGCTCAAGAGACTTTGCGAGTGAAGTAAGCAGTGTCTTAAATAAGGTAAATATTTTTGTATTTCTTGATGCAATTATTTTTCTTAATTATGCCAAAAATTTGCTGTAACTTATGATCAGTTGTATTTAGGTTATATCAGAAAAATAATGCAGTGTATCAGAGATAGTAGGAACTGCCGATGCTGGAGAATCTGAGATAACAAGATGTAGAGCTGGATGAACACAGCAGGCCAAGCAGCATCAGAGGAGCAGGAAAGCTGACGTTTTGGGTCTGGACCCTTCTTCAGAAATGGGGGAGGGGAAGGGGATTCTGAAATAAATAGAGAGAGAGGGGGAGGTGGATGGAAGATGGATAAAGGAGCAGATAGGTGGAGCGGAGTTGGACAGGTCAAGGAGACGGGGATGGAGCCAGTAAAGGTGAGTGTGGGTGGGAAGTTAATGTGGGGATTGGTCAGTCCAGGGAAGACGGACAGGTCAAGGAGGCGGGGATGAGGCTGGTAGGTAGGGGGTGGGGTTTGAGGTGGGAGGAGTGGATAGGTGGGAGAAAGAACGGACAGGTTAGGGAGGCGGGGATGAGCTGGGCTGGTTTTGGGATGCGGTTGGGGGAGGGGAGATTTTTGAAGCTTGTGAAGTCCACATTGATACCATTGGGCTGCAGGGTTCCCAGGTGGAATACGAGTTGCTGTTCCTGCAACCTTCGTGTGGCATTGTTGTGGCACTGGAGGAGGCCCAGGAGGGATATGTCGTCCAAGGAGTGGGAGGGGGAGTTGAAGTGGTTCGCGACTGGGAGGTGCAGTTGTTTGTTGCGAACCAGGCGTAGGTGTTCCACAAAGTGGTCTCCAAGCCTCCGCTTGTTTTCCCCGATGTAGAGGAGGCCACATTGGGAACAGCAGATATAGTATACAACATTAACAGATGTGCAGGTGAACATCTGTTTGATGTGGAAGGTTTTCTTGGGCCCTGGGATGGGGGTGAGGGGGGAGGTGTAGAGGCATGTGTAGCACTTGCTGTGGTTGCAGGAAAAAGTGCCGGGGGTTGTGGCGCTAGTGGGGAGTGTGGAGCGGACAAGGGAGTCACAGAGAGAGTGGTCCCTCCGGAAGGCACATAAGGGTGGGGAAGGAAAAATGTCTTTGGTGGTGGGGTCAGATTGCAGGTGGCGGAAGTGCCGGAGGATGATGCGTTGGATCCGGAGGTTGGTGGGGTGGTACATGAGCATGAGGGGGATTCTGTTTTTGTTGTTACTGCGGGGAGGGGATGTGAGGGATGAGTTGCAGGAAATGCGAGAGATGCGGTTGAGGGCGTTTTCGACCTCTGTGGAGGGGAAGTTGCGTTCCTTGAAAAACGAGGACATCTGGGATGTCCAGGAGCGGAATGCGGCGGAGGTGAAGGAATTGGGAATAGGGATGGCATTTTTGCAGGAAGCTGAGTGAGAGGAGGTGTATTCTAGGTAGCTGTGGGAGTTGGTAGGCTTGAAATGGATAACGATTTCCAGATGGATGCCAGAGATGGAGACAGGTCCAGGAAGGAGAGAGAGGTATCCGAGATGGTCCAGGTGAACTTAAGGTTGGGGTGGAAGGTGTTAGTGAAGTGGATGAACTGTTCGAGCTCCTCGCGGGAGCACGAGGCGGCGCCGATACAGTCATCGATATAACGGAGGAAGAGGTGGGGGATAGGGCCAGTGTTGCTTCGGACGAGAGATTGTTCCACGTATCCTACAAAGAGGCAGGCAATGCTTGGGTCCATGCGAGTACCCGTAGCCACCCCCTTTGTCTGTAGGAACTGGGAGGAATTGAAGGAGAAGTTGTTAAGGGTGAGGACGAGTTCAGCTAAGCGGACAAGGGTGTCAGTGGAGGGGGACTGGTCGGGCCTGCGGGACCGGAAGAAGCAGAGGGCATGGGGAATGCAAGTATGTAGGGACTGGACGTCCATGGTGAAGATGAAGTGTTGGGGACCAGGGAATTGGAAGCTTTGGAGGAGGTGGAGGGCGTGGGTGGTATCACGGACATAGGTGGAGAGTTCCTGGACCGGGGGGAGAAAATGGAGTCGAGATAAGGCAGCGTATCATTTCTGTTGATCTCTTGTTAAGCTGATCCTTCTTTTGTAGTGCATTTTCTGATCCTTACTTAAATATTGTTAAAGACTGCTTTCTCGTAATCAGGAATGCCATTGTCTGTTTTCTACTATAGTTAGTTTCTTATTGTTAAGAGTCTGAAGTGAAGATTTAAGAGTAGGGACAGGCTAATTAAATTATTTATTTCTGGTTCTATAATAGTATCCTATGATGCACCCATCCAAATCTCTCTTGAATATGAAGATTAAGCGGTGGCTCAGTTCCAGGGACCCGGGTTTGATTCCGCCCTCTGGTGACTGTCTCTGTGGAATTTGCATATTCTCCCCCTGTCTGCGTGGGTTACCGCAGGCTACCCTGGTTTCATCCCACAGCCCAAAGATATGCAGCTTAGGTGGATTGGCCATGTTAAATTGCCCGTAGTGTCCAGGGATGTGCAGGTTAGATGGATGTGCCATGGGAGGTGAAGGGTTACAGGGAAAGGGTAGTGGGATGGGCCTGGGTGGGATGCTTGTCAGAGGGTCGGTGTGTAGTTGTTGGGCCGAATGGCCTGTTTCCACACTCTATGGATTCTATGACGATTCTATGATATGATTATCAATATTGAAAAGAATTTTGAGAAGAAGGAATTTCCAGACATTTTCAAAATAGCCAAGGTGTAACATTAATTAATTTATTTGCGTTCAGTCATGACAATACTAGTTAACACGTCAAATCTGAATTTGAATGTGACAGCTAAAATACGGTCAGGAATTTATTTCTGGGACAGGAGTAGTTGCACTTTATTTTTATAAGAAAAGATTTGTTCGTTGTCTCTGACACCATTCACTTTCCGTCAAGTCATATGCATCCGTTCTTCATATCTTAGAGAGGAATCCATTCCATTTCCCTGTTCCAATCAGTATTGTGCTGAAGCAATTTCTGCATGTTTTACAGTGGTATATGACTTTGCTTGATATGACATGGATAATTTTTAATACTTTTGGGTAGGAGAGATAGAATTGTATTGTGAACCTATGCCCTCTGGTTTTGGGCTCTGCCACCTTGGGCAAAAGACCTTGACTATTCACCCGATCCATTGCCCCTCATGATTTTATAAATGCCTATAAGGTCAACCCTCAGCCTCTAATGCTCCAGGGAAAATAGCCCCATCCTATTCAGCTTCTCCCTATAGCTCAAACCTTCCAACTCTGGCAACATCCTTGTAAATCTTTTCCGAACCCTTTTCAAGTTTCACAATATCCTTCCTACAGAAGGAGGACCAGAGTTGTATGCAGAATTAGAATCATAGAATCCCTACAGTGTGGAAGCAGGCCATTTGGTCCATCTAGTCTACACTGACCTTCCAAAATGCATTCCATCCAGACCTGTCCCGCTACCCTATCCCTGTAACCCTGCCTTTCCTATGGCTAATCCACCTAGCCTGCTCATCTCTGGACACTATCAGCAATTTGGCATGGCCAGTCCACCTAACCTATACGTCTTTGGACCATTGGAGGAAACCAGAGCATACGGAGCAAACCCACACAGACATGGAGAGAATGTACAAACTCCACACAGACTGTCACCCGAAGGCGGAATCGAATCCGGGTCCCTAATGCTGTGAAGCAGCAGTGCTAACCACTGAGCCACCATGCTGCCCCAACTATTCCAAAAGTGGCCTCACCAATGTCCTGTACAGCCACAACATGACATCCAAACACCTTTGCTCAATACACTGACCGATGAAGGCAAGCATGCCAAGTGCCTTCTTCACCACTCTGTCGACCTGTGACTGCACTTTTAAGGAACTGTGCACCTGATATGTTGGATAACCTCAGGTTATGGAATAAGTTAACCGATATCATCTAGGGTTGAAGGGTTTGAGCTATAAGGAGAGGCTGAACGGGCTGGGGCTATTTTCCCTGCTGCGTCAGAGGCTGAGGCTATTTGGTCCATTCAATCCACACCGACCCTCAGAGTGACCTTTTTATAGGGGTTTATATAATCATGAGGGACATGGATAGGGTAAATAGACAAGATCTTTTCCCGAGGTGGGGGAAGTCCAAAACTATAGGGCATAGGTTTAAGGTGAGAGGGGAAAGATTTAAAAGGGACCTGAGGGGCAACTTTTTCACACAGAGGGTGATGTGTATATGGAATGAGCTGCCAGAGGAAGTGGTGGAGGCTGGTACAATTACAACATTTAAAAGGCATCTGGATGGGTATATGAATAGGAAGGGTTTAGGGAGTTATAGGGCAAATGCTGGCAAATGGAACTAGATTAATTTAGGATATCTGGTCGGCACGGACGAGTTGGACAGCATGGTCTGTCTCTGTGCTGTATACCTCTGTGACTGAGTTATATTAATGACCGTTTAGTATGGCTTCTAAATAATGTGTTCCATCTTTATTTTCATTTCAGGGTCACCCAAAAGTCTGTGAAAAACTGAAAGCCCTCATGGTAGAGTGGGCAGAAGAATTTAAGAATGACCCTCAACTTAGTCTTATATCTGCTATGATAAAAAACCTGAAAGAACAAGGAGTTACATTTCCTGCAGCAGGTTCTCAGGTAGTTTTTTTTTAATGTTTGTATTGACTAAATAATTTACTCACTGTAGCTTAAGCTCACCATTTGTCAGTTATTGCTGGGGGGAAAAAAGAAACTGTCAAGGTACATATTTGAGACCTTGGTTTAAGTTTTTTTTATCCATTTGTTTATTAATATCTTTATTAGCGATGCTGTTTATCTCTAACCATATTGTTGAGATAGGCTGCAGAACAGGCAAAGGCGAGCCCTGCTTTGGTGGCAAAGGATCCAAATGTAACCGCAATCAAAAGAGAAGAGGAGGACTTAGCGAAAGGTGAGTTTACTCGAAATCAGAGTGCTGAATCAATTCAGATCAATATAGCTTTAGATCAACATTTTTGAAAAAAACATCTTGAAGGCAGATAGCAGCATGATACAATTTTATACCTAAGCTGTTAATAGTTGATCGAAAGCAACCTGAATTTGTTTAGTACATTTAAACATTGATATGCCCCAAAATGCCTTGTATAAAGAGGATACCATGTAATAACTGGGTTAAAAATGTTACAAGAACATATTTGAGGTACAACTAAAGATGTAAGAGTTGAGGATAATTTTTAAATTGGGAAGGTAAAGCAAGGTAGAGAAGTACATGAAGGGCATCCTGAAATGTAAGGTGGTGATGGTTGACAATGTTATTGTATCAAAACTGATAATTATCCTGAATCTGAGTTTTCTATCATTTATTCATATATTCAGAGGAAGACTCAGCGTAACAATTAAGACAGAGTCTGTAAAATTACATATCTTTAGACTTGATACAGGATATTATATCTTGAATTCTTTATGAACATAGTAACAAGAGTAGGCCCTTCAAGCCTGCTCTGCCATTCAGTGAGATCGTGGCTGTTCTGATTTTAACTGCAACTCTATGTTCCTGTATATCCCTGATAATCTTTCATCCCTGTGGTACTTGAGAATCTATCTACATCTGCCTTAAAAAATCTAAAAATTCTGCATCTACTGTTTTGTTTCTCCATCTCTCTTTCAAATGGGCACCCTCTTACTTTGCCATATTTGACCAGGTGACTGATGTAGTCTACTCTTTTCCCATGGTATATTTAGGCATTGTCTCTGTTTTATCCATGGCTTTCATTATCTCTGACTGTATGGCCTGTTGGTCCCCCTACTCCCTGTTTTCTATACATCTGTGTTTCCTCAGTTCTGACTTTTTCCGTTACTTTTACGGAATAGTAATCCTTAATTTACTAAGACTGATTCAAACTAAGTTTATGTCCTGCCTTCTGGAGGTAGAAAAAAATTTGTGGATGTTTGGATTTAAAAGAGCAGAAGTTACAACAGGGAACTGCACTGGAGGAATTGAGGAGTATGGCCGTGGAAGAGTTTGTTAAACAAGGTTTTGAAGTAAAACTACCAAAGGTGAAAAGTCAGTGGGTTCCAGATTATACTCTGGTGATGGATGACCAGGTCTGAGCCTGTGAAAAGATGCTGATGGCAAGAGTTACATAAGGAAGACAGGAATTGCTAGGTGAACAACAAAACAATTCATTTTCGTCTTGAATTTTGTCTATTAACATACTGGTAGTTGCAGGACATAACATTTACGGAGTTGTTAACTTAACATGGCAACCAATCTTTACCATTGTCTAAATGAGTCCTATATATGAAGTGAGAGATTCCAGCCCATAGTGGAATGTTTTGGCATCCATAAAAATGTATATAGATTTTCACAGCCTCAGGATGGCACAAAGCACTTTGCAAACAACAGTTTTACTTCTAAAGTGTAACCATTGTTGTAAGAAGCCCAGCAGCTTGCTTGTTCATAGCGAGCTCCCACAACAGCAATGTGAAGATGACAATGTACGTTGTTTTTTTTTTGATTTTTTTAAATTATCCATTAACGGGATGAGGACTTCGCTGGCTAGGCAGCATTTATTGCCCATCCTTAATTGCCCAGAGGGCAGTTCAGAGTCAACCACATTGCTGTGGGTCTGGAGTCACATGTCGGCCAGATCGGGTAAGGATGACAGCTTCCTTCCCTAAAGGACATTAGTGAGCCAGGTCGGTTTATTCCTGACAATCAGCAGTGGATTCATTGTCATCATTAAATTCTTAATTCCAGATATCTTATTGAATTCGAATTCAACTTCCACCATCTGCTGTGGTGGGATTTGAACCTGGGTCCTCAGCATGTTATCTGGGTCTCTGAATTAACAGTCCAGTGATAATACCACTATGCCATCGCCTCCCCAAGTAAGGGGTAAATATTGTCTAGGATGTCAGAGATAAGCGATCCTAGGACACAATTTAACAGTAAGGAAGTTGTCTACCTGAGGGAACAGACAGGGTTTAATATCTCATTCAAAAGAATCCACCCTTCCTTCAGTTCTCAATTGGAATATCAGCCTAGTTTTCTGCTCAGGTCTCTGGAGTGGAACTTGGAATTTGAGTGATTAGGCTTCCAAGTGAACCAAGACTAACACTGCTCCAATACATTGGTCACCTATTCGTTCCAAGCAACTGCACCTAACATATTTCATACAACAAATTACTTTTATGTATTCTTTATTTAAAAGAAATGAATCTAACCTGCTTCCATTATCTGATTGGGATGCATATTCTATAAGTTCATCACTTGCTTGCTGAAATAATTATTTCACACATGTTAAAAATTTCTGGGATGAGATTGTCAGTGACAAGGCAATTATTTATGGCCTATCTCCATTTGCTTTAGAGAAAGCAATGGTGCCTTACCTTCTTGAACCTCTCCAGGCCACCTGATTTAGCTACCTCACTCCTAGGAACTTGACTCTGTCGAACATCTCCACCTCAGCTTCATTGATGTAGATAGGGGCATTCTCTCCTCCTTGCTTCCTATAGTCGACGATCAGCACTTTAGTTTTGCTAACGCTGAGGGAGAGTTTGTTATCTTTACACCATGTCACCAAGCACTGAATCTCTTTCCTGGATTCTGTCTCATGACTGTTTGATATTGGACCTACAAAGGTTGTGTCATCAGCGAATTTGTAGATGGCGTACGGAAGAAATTTGGCCACACAGTCCTAAGTGTAGAGGGAGGACAGTAAGGGGCTGAGTACGCAGCCTTGTGGGTCGCTGGTATTGAGGATTGTAGTGGAGGAGGCGTTGTTGCCTATCCTCACTACGGTCTCTAGATTAGGAAGTCGAGGATCCAGTTGCAGATGGCAAAGCAGAGACCTAGGTCTTGAAGTTTGGAGATTAATTAATTTGGTTTGGATTATAGTGTTGAAAGCGGAGCTGTAGCGAATAAGTAAAAGCCTGACTTAAATAACCTTATTATCCAGATGCACCAGCAATGAGTTTAGGGCTAGGAAGATAGCGTCTGCTGTGGACCTGATGTATCGCGCTGTGTTAAGCTTCTTGAATCTCGTAGCTGCAGTCATCCAGGCAGAATGTCAATGTCTGGGTTTGTTTAGAAACTCTAGAGTCTTGTTAGTTCTCAGCTTATTGGAATATTGCTTCTATATGACCACTTTGCTAGTCAGAAGAATAAATTAAGACTTATGATAGAAACTACAAGACAGATTTCTTGAACAGTTACATTTTTAAAAATTAATTTGTGGGACATGGGCATCGCTGGCTGGCCAGCATTTATTTCCTGTCCCTAGTTACCCTTGAGAAGGTAGTGGGGGGTTGCCTTCTTGAACTGCTCTAGTCCACGTTGTGGATTGATCCACAATGCCTGTTAGGGAAGGAATTCCAGGATTTTGACCCAATGACAGTGAAAAAAAATTACAATGTATTTCCAAGTCAGGATGGCAAATAGCTTGGAGGGGAACTTGGAGGTAGTGATGTTCCATGAATCTGCTGTCCTTGTCCTTCTAGCTAGAAATGGTTGTGGACTTGTAAGGTGCTGTTTATGGATCTTTGGTGAATTTCTGCAGTGCATCTTGTAGGTAGTACACACTGCTGCTACTAAGCATTGGTGGTGGAGGGAGTGGATGTTTGTGGATGTGGTGCCAGTCAAGTGGGCTGCTTTGTCCTTGTTCCTGTCAAGCTTCTTGAGTGTTGTTGGGGCTACACCCATCTTGGCAGGTGGGGAGTATCCCATCACGCTCCTGACTTGAGCCTTGAAAATGATAGACAGGCTTTGGAAGTCAGAAGGTGAGTCACCCTCTGCAGACTTGCTAATGAATCTAATGTGTGCCCTTACAGTAATTGCAAGCACTATGTGGAAGATGGAACATAAAAGATGCTCCTTGTCAATGTAATTAGACACAATAATGGCGTTGGTGATTTAGCCTTGTATGGCTCATGAATTGGTGGGCTGATTTCATAACCACAAAAGTATAGCTCTTAAATTTCTTTTCAGAGACCGTAGAATGATTCGTGGTTATAATTTCAAGCCCGATTGTGTACATTTAGGAAGTTGACCTTTTTAAAGATGCTTGAGTTAAATTTTAATGGACTGACCCCACCCCCATCTGAAAACCACATTGATGTATTCCTATTCAACTATGTGATGTAAGAACATAACTAAGAGCAGGAGTAGGCAGTTCAGCCCCTTGAGCCTGCTCTGTCATTTAATTCAACCATGGCTGATCTCATCACAGTCTCCACTCCACTTTCCTGCCCATTCCCCTTTTTGACCAATTACTAATTTAAAAATCTTCTATCTCCTCACATTTATCCAGTGTCCTAATATCCACTGCACCCCGGGGTAGTGAATTCCACAAATTCACTACCCTTTGAGAGAAATAATTCTTCCTTATCTCCTTTTTAACCTAAAAGGAGGCAGATTTAAAACAATGACTCACAATGTAGATTGCTGCGCAAGAGGAAATATTGGTTCCAAGTCAACTTTGCCAATCCCCTTCAGCATCTTAAATTCCTCAATTAGATCTGCTCTCATCCTTTTAAAGACTAATGAGTATAGTTCTAAATGGCTCAAACTCCCCTGATAAGACAAGCCTTTCGTCTCTGAAATTTATCTATGAACTTTCTCTGAACTGCCTCTAATGTAATTACATTCCTAATCAAGCAATAGGACCAAAACTGTACGCAGTACTTCATTGATTTTTTTTCTCCCCAATGCCTTGTCCATTTGCAACAACATTCCCCTACTTTTATACTGCATTCCTTTAGCAATAAATGCCAAACTTCCATTTGCCTTTCTTATTACCTGCTGTATCTGCATGCTAGCTTTCCATGACCCATGCACAAGCTTACCAAATCTTGAAGTTCACTTTAGATAATTTGCCTTTTTGTTCTTCTGACTAGAATGAATAACTTCACTTTTACCAACTTAAACTGCCAACTTTTGGCCCATTCATCTAACCCGTCCACATCCATTTGTGAATGTCTTAATCCTCCATTGCAACTGGCTTTTCCACCTACTTTAGTGTCATCTGTGAATTTGGTTATAGACATTCTATCCTTGCAAACATGTCATTAATCTAGATTAAAGTTTTTGGGAAGATTTGCAGCCCTGCTTGTAGATGAGGCTGTAGACTTGCTCGCCGAGCCAGGGTGTTTGATTGCAGATGTTTCGTCACCCTGCTAGGTAACATTGTCAGTGCGCCTCCGGTCAATTGTTGGTGTTCTGTCCTGCTTGTTATTTATGTGCCTCGGTTTGCTGGGGTGGTTGGCATCACTTCTGGTTCTGTTTCTCAGTGGTTTGTATATCGGACCCAGTTCAGTGTGTTTGTTGATGGAGTTCCGGTTGAAATGCCAGGCCTCCAGGATGTCCCCGGCATGTGTCTGTTTGGCTTGTGCTATTATCGATATGTTGTCCCAATCAAATTCGTGTCCTTATTTGTCAGTGTGTATTGAGACCAGTGAGAATTGGTTGTATCTCTTGGTGGCTTGTGTATCTTTTATTGTCAGTTTGCTTCCCGTTTGGCCTATGTAATGTTTCTCACAGTCCTTGCATGGTAGTTTGTATATTACGTTCGTTTTATTGGTTGTGGGTATGAGATCCTTCACGTTCATCAGTGGCTGTTGCAGGGTTGTTGTTGGTTTGTGGGCTACCCTGATACCTAGGGGTCTGAGTAGTCTTGTGGTTATCTCTGGTATGTCTCTGTACGGTAGGGTGACTAGTCTGTCCGGCCGTGTTGTGTCGTCTTTTTGTGGTCAGTCACGGAGGTAACAGTGGATTGTGTTTTTGGGGTATCCATTCCTTTTAAAAACTTTGTATATGTGTTCCTGTTCTGCTTTGTGCAATTCCAAGTTGCTGCAGTGTGATGTGGCCTGTTTGAATAATGCCCTGATGCAGCTCTGTTTTATGGGGTTGCGGTGGATGCTGGAGTAATTAAGTATCTGGGCTGTATGGGTGGTCTTTCTGAATAGGCTACTCTGGAATTCCCTGTTGTTCTTGTGTTCTGCCGTTCATGTCTAGGATGGGTAGTCTGTTATTGTTCTCTCTTTTGTGAATTGGATGCACTGCTTCCACTCCTCGCAAGAATTCCTGAACATCATCAAGGACAAGAGAATAGAAGAGGACGAGGTAATGATATCTGTCGATGTAACAGCACTATTCACACCAATAAACAACCTAACCAAAGAGACAATTGCCACACTGCTGGACGAATCAGGAAAGGAGGCACCCCATAACACCAACAGCATGAACAAGAACAGCACCCTGAAACTACCGGATCCGTGTCTCACAGCCCACTTCACCTTCAACGACTGTATATTCAAACCAATCAACGGAACATCAATGGGATCCCTAATATCAGAAGCGTTAATGCAAAGGTTAGAACAGACAGTGCTCCCCACTATACAACCCAAACTCTGGGTTTGCTATGTAGATAACACCTTCGTGATTATCAAACGCACAAGGCTAGAAGAAACCCATCAACACAAACAACATTCTCACCGGGAAAAATGATCAAATGCTTTCAGGAGTGCAGATGTACGACATCGACACACAGACACACACACCCACCACCATTATCTGCTTTGCTTGTCACATTCCGAAGGACTCTGGCACGTTAGTCAAACATTATGTGCCCTACATGCCACCATACCGACTCTGGTGTGTGTTGACCTTCCAAATGTCCTATTACAACTGCCTTAATAATGGATTCCAACAATTTCCCAATGACACATGTTAAATTGATTGGTCTATATTTTCCTACGTTCTGCCTCCCTTTCCTTTTGAATAAGGGCTTTACTTCAGCATTCTTGCAATCCACTGGACCCTTTACATAATATTCCAAAGTTTCCTGGATTCTAAGTAATGTATCTCTGCAGCCACTTCCTTTATGATCCTAGGATGTATATCAGGCCGTCAGGTCCTGGGGATTTGTCTGCCTTTAATCTTATAGTCAGTGTGTTTTCCCTAGTGATGGCAGTTGGTTTAAGTTCTTCCTTTTCTATAATCTGCCATTACCTGTTAATACAGGGATGTCTCAGTGTCCTCCACTGTGAAAACTGAGGCAAAATATTGATTTAGTGTCTCTGCCATTTCTGTGATCCCCTCTATTAACTCCCATTCTTCTCTAAGGTAATGGTTCCCAGTCCTTTTCAGCATAAAGGCACGACACAATGAGACGAAACGGCACACCATATTTTCATGCTGGACGTGTGGTATTGGGTGTGGTATTGTGGCATATGTCGCTCTGGAGGCTTGTGCGTTTGCAGGCAATAGAGGCCTCTTGGGTTAGCAGATACTGCTTTCAATAATAGACACCGTGGCTCCGGAAGAGATTGGAAGCACAGACGTGGCCTCAAGACTCTGCTAAAGCATGCTGCTTCTTGTGAATTTCATGGCACGGCTCAGTAATCGTCACTGATCATTCCTATCTGTCTCTATTTGTGCGGTTAACTTATTAACTTTATTCCAAATGCTATGCGCATTCAGATACAAAGCCTTTAAATTTATCTTAATATCAGGTTTCCCTACACTTGTACAATTCCTTGGTGCAATTTGATATTTACATGCTTCTTTCATTTTGTGGTTCATCACTAACCTGCACCCCTACCTTGTCCATACAGATTAAAAAAAAAAAAAAAAAAATTTCCATGCAGCTGAACCACCCTGCCATCACCACCACCAATAGGATTGAGCAGCAATGGTCCTTCTAAGCAGCACACATGTGCAGCCACTTTACTGTTCCACACATCACACCAATCGCAACATCCACTTTTGGTTCCAGAATTCACTGCCCTGAACCTTGGCAGCCTGCGCTGCCTGTGAGAGGGAAAGCTGTTCACCAGGACTGTAATCCCAGCATTGTTCAAGTGGACTCCATCCCAATGGAATAGCTCCCTCTTTCCCCAGTACTGGTACCAATATCCCATGAATTCAAACCCAATTCACCTACACCAATCTTTGAGACATACATTTATCTTGTATTGGTGCTGTGCCATTTAGCTCACAGCTCAGTTAGTAATCTGGACATTGTTACCTTTGTGGTTCTACTTCTTAATTTACTACTGAGCTACTCATGCCCTAAGCAGAACTTCTTTCCTTATTCTACATGTATTTTTGGTACCTACCTGTATCATGACAACTAAGTTCTTCTGCAGCTCAGATGAGATATCCTGAACCCTGGTACCACGTAGGCAGCACAGCTTTCAGTATTCTTGTTCCTGGCTACAGAAAATAGTGTCTATTCTGCTAACAATACTATCTCTGATTATGACTTTGTTCTCCACTTCTCTTCTCTCCCCCCACCTCCACTTGAATCGCTCCTTGTCCCAGTGTGCATTACCGCACTGTTTTCAAGGGAATCAACTAATTAATGCCTATCAGTATCCTCAAACACCGCTTTCAGGTTAAATTTTGCATCTCAGTAATTTCCTAAAATGCCCTTTTGCAAAGTAGACCATAGTGTGTTCTTTGCTTCTTGAAACAATGTCTCATTAGAACCCTGTGTGCGCTGATATCAACAAGAAAGAATACGTTAAATAATGGTGACTAAAGATAAAAAAACTTAACATTATTTATTACCTGCAGTATTAAAACTCCATTACCAAAAGGATTTGATATCCTTGCTTTACACTGCAAGATTTTGTATCTCCAGATGTGTGAAACAGTAATGCAGTGTTATTTACTATTGCCACTTGTAGGCTGAACACAAGAACAAAGTATGTTTCTAAATTGAAAGTTTTATATATAAGTTACATTTTTGCAGAGACATGATAAATGTTTTCTCAACATAATCAGTAAGTTATGGAGAATAGAATGTTTCTAACTTTAACACTCTCACTGTCATTTGGTTTCTGTTCATTTTTAGCCATTGAATTGTCATTGAAAGAACAGCGACAGCAACAGACTACAGTCTCTAATTTGTATCCAAGCACTCCGAGTCTTATGACTAGTAAACCTGAAGGACGCAAGGTGCGAGCCATCTATGACTTTGAAGCTGCAGAAGATAATGAGCTCACCTTTAAAGCTGGAGAGATTATTACTATATTAGATGACAGGTAACTGGAAATAAATGGATAGGGAAGGAGTATTCTAAGTAAACCAGTCTTAAAAGCGCATTAACTTGTAGTATAGTCTCATAGAAATTAAATGCAAGAAAAAATAGATGTTTGGTTAGCAAATTTATATAAATTGGAGCATACACAAAAAAAGTCAGTAAGTAAATGAAACAGAAGAGTGCAATAGAATAATGATTTAAAACAGTTGTGATTTGAAATATCACGACACCGAACTATATAACCCTTCACTCATTGTCAATAGTGATCCAAATTGGTGGAAAGGTGAAACATATCAAGGGATTGGATTGTTTCCATCAAATTTTGTGACCGCAGACCTAACAGCAGAACCAGAGATATGTGAGTAATGAAAATGTATTAATTAGTCCATTTATAGTTGTTTATCAAATATAAACATGAGTTCTAAAATTTAACATTACCAATAATTCTGCAAAATAGTATCGGTAAATTTCTTCCGTTAATAAGATCTGAACTTCAAAGTATGCTTTCATTTAGTTAAACACAACTGTGGAGTTTAACAGTATGTTTTACATAATTGTTTATTTTGGCTATTACTAAAGGATGATGTATTCTTCACAGTGAAAATTGAAAAGAAAACTGTACAATTTAGCGATGAGGTTCAAATTGAGACGCTGGAACCAGAACTTGAACCTGTTTATGTTGATGAAGTAAGTGTACGCTATACTTAACTATAATATTGATGATATTCATGCAAAACTGCAGCCACTTGTATTTGTGTGTCTGTTTATCCGTCTGTTCGAGATATTAAGACCTTTTCAAAACAGCATCTTGAGAGAGGTAGGTCTTAAGGAGCATCTTGAGGGAGGAGGGAGAATGGAGAAGTGGAGAGATTCAGAGAAGTGCTGAGGTTAATTCCAAATCTTAGACCTTCAGCAATTGAAGACACATCTGCCAGTTGAGAGCAATTAAAATCTGGGATCAGCAAGCATAAGACATGCACAGCTATCTGGCTGAATTGGAGAACTATGGAAATTGTTTAGTTGGCAAAATCAAAACAAATACTGAAAATGATGCCCTGTTATTCAGAAAAATGAATGCCATGCAGAGCTCAGAACATGGTTTGCTTGTTTCGTACTGTGATGTAAACCAAAGTTGAACTAACCATGACTCCAGCAGAACTTGAACTGTAAATTTTGTACCCAGTTCTGATTTTGATTGTAGATATGCATAATCCTTGTACTGAAAAAAAAATCTTGTGGGTCATTACAGAATGCTCCTTAGACAATTGTGCCAAAATTAATTGAATGTTTCGATTTAGATGGAGATTCTTGCAATGTTGGTTTTAGTACATGTTGTAAGTACTAAATTTAATTGTCTTCAGTACTTTTCTCTGTTTATCTAGTTACAAGCTTGGAAATTGTTGAAGAATCTCCTGCACACTTGATATGTCCATTCAGCTCTATAAACTGTCTCATTCCTTCTTGACAATCTTGTCAGTCTTGCAGCATGTAGAATGTCGGAGCTCTAGCATAATTTGGCATGCTGTAGCTCAACAAGGAAGGAGGATATGCTGGTTCTATTTCACAAAACAAAATGAGGTGAAAATAAAGGAACAGTTAACTGCTGTTTAGATTCAATTATTGAGCAATTAAAGCACAGTGTAAAAGTTGTTTAACTTAAGATGTAAGAGCAATTTAGAAAGGCAGTTCAGAGGAGGTTTACTTGAGACCTGGAATGAGTGAGGTTTTTTTATAAAGCTAGGTTTGACAGGCCAGGCTTGTTTCCACTGGAATTTCGAATAGTGCAGGTGATTGACATGTATAAGGTCTTGAGTGGCCTTGACAAGGTGGATGTGGAAAGAATAGTTCCTCTTGTGGGTCAGCCCAGAACTAAGGGCACTGTTTTAAAATTTAGGGATTGCCCTTTCAGGATAGAAATTAGAATTTTTTGGTGAGGTTTGTGTGATTTTGGCAATGCCTGCCTCAGAAGTTGGTGGAAGTAGGGTCATTTGAATAGCTTTAAGGCAGAACTAGTTAGATTCTTGTTAGGGGGGGGAATTGAGGGTTATCACAGCAGATAGGAATGTGGAATTTGAAATACAGACGGATCAGCCATGATTTTATTGAATGATCGAGCAGGCGCTAGGGGTCAAATAGTCTACCTCTGCTCCTATTTCATGTGTTTCTATGAGAAGGAATGATAAAATAGATGTAAAAAAACTAATTTCCACCAGGGCATAAGCATAAAAATTCAAACAGAACCTCCAATCCCTTTTGTTTAGTTATTAAAATTCAAAGACTTCAAAACCAAAACAAAGCTAAATTAACTGCAGCGTAGAGTCAGCCATGACTTAGTCTTGGTATTCTTTCCTCAGTCAGAAGTTGTACATTCAAGACCCATTTTAGGCTTGACCTCATTGCAATAGTGAGGGAGTGCTGTATTATGAGGGATTCAGATTTCTGGATCATATGGGATTATTAGCAAGATCTAGGTTTTCCCAAGGTTCTGAAACTAAAATCCTGCAAAACAAACAGCACCAGTCACGTGTGGACTTCCTTATCATTGAGGAAGACTTTACAGCAACCTTCTCTAACAACCCAAGTGCAGACAAGATTGCAGAGGCTCTTTCATGTAACTAATTAAGGGGAAAAGTTTCTCATTCATGTACACCTGGTCATCAGATATTCTCACAGAAGTGCCTCTATGCACAAGGCAAGTAGATGCAAATGAAACATTATGAACTGGGCTTTTAAAGATTCTCTGATTTTTTTTTTTTTTCCCTGCTGCTTTAGAAGTGTCTATCTGACAGCAAGACCAAGATAATTATATCTCTGTTTTTCTCTATGCTCCAAGCCGGTCTGAGCAAATAATACAAATCCATTCAAGATCTGTTGGCACCTAGCATCCTTTTTAGCAGGTTTACAAGATGCCTTCAGGCAATAAACATTTTACAGATACTCTGCTAAATTTAAGCTAATAATATAACAGGTGGCTATTTAAAACAAAACACTGTTCAACTGTAGTTTTGTAATGCAGTATGCCAGTCAAGGTTGATTATACAGGTCATACCATAGGCTGTGTACTATTGAAGTAATTTTTGCATGAAATGGTGATGCTGCATGTCCACATATGGTTAACTGATTATACAACAAAGAACTAAATATAGTGTAGGTGTGACTGCTGAGAAGTAGCATTTGTCTCTTTAAATATGCTGACCATTGTTGAAAAATGTAGCATTGAGTTGAGTCTCGCAACTTGAGTTTGTGAGCAAATTTAAAACAGGTTGTAGAGAATGGAATATATCTTGATCGCAATAGATGTATCATTATTGACATCTGTCTTGCTTAAAACAACTGGGCCCTTCATAATTTGTCACTGAATGGCATCCTAATCCAATGTCATAACACCATCAAACTGTTGAGTGTATCTAAAATGGGATGTGCGTATTCGTTCTGTTGTAAAATGAGCTGAAGCATCATTATCGCTCCAGCAATGATCTTGTGATCGTTTTCATTTCATTTATTCAACTTTTTAAAAAATTTACTCATTTATTGCCTCACCTACTTCCCTTGAGAAAGTGGTGGTGAGCTGCCTTCTTAACTGCTGCAACCCATTTCCTCTAGATCGACTCTCACTGCAATTATATTGGAATATAGGACATCAGTGTGGTCAAATGACATTACAACGTAACAATGTAAAGTCCTTTAACTCATTCACTGAAGGCTTGCAAAGTCACTTTTGGCTCTAATCACCACAGTAACTCAGATTTTTCTTTTGACTTGCGTGGTTGTGGTCTTATCACACTTGAGAACAGATGCAGTCAGTGCACTTCCTTCACATTATTGCTGCAGACTTCTGGGTTTTAATACTTGGAACGGCAAAGATTTCGCAGTTACTGCTGATTCACAGGAGCTATCTCTATGGAATTTTAAAACAGTTTACTGAGTTAAGATGTGAAATGATAGTAATCAAGAATACTGCAATGCCACATTTCAAACTACAACAAGCAAACTCTAATGACTATTAAACATTGAACCTTGATAGTACAAATACCCTAATCTAATGATCAGTGTACTTCGTTCTTTCATTTTTTTTTTTTCACATTTTTAAATCAATTATTCAAAATAACTTATTTAGCTTCAACTCTTGTCAGTGATAGAAGTTGATTTTGAAATAAGTATCATGTGTAGCCATTTAGGACTTGGTTTTTCTGTCTTTTGTTTGATAATACTTCCAACTTAACTGCAAAGTATTTGACCTCAATTTTAAGGTGTTAGTGTCTTGCTCTGGATTACAGAGGAAATAGTTTATCTATATCCACTTTGTTGAATCTCCTTTATAATTTTTAGTATCTAATTTGGATGAACTCTTAACCCTGTTATCTCAGAATATTTGGGAACTTTATGCAGTCTGTTAACCCTATAAGCCCTGATTAATTTTAGTGAATCTGATCTGTATCCTTGCCAAGGACATTAGCAATCCTCAGGAACTATATACCCAAAACTGACGCAGCTTGGATCTGACAAATGCTGTGTGTAACTGAAATGTTACTTTCTCACTTTTCCGTTCCAAGCACCTTCAGATAATGCCTGATCTTTCATTAGTTATTTTGTTTGTTTTCTTTTGCCTTTGGGTCAGCTTTTAATGATTGTGTAGATGTACAATTAAGTATTTTTGATCCTTCTAATCTCTCACTGTTAAGAAAACTTGTCTGTGATTCAAGTTGGGTGACTTCACGCTTTTCCACATGGAATTCCATCTGTGATCATTTTGTTCATCACTTAGTACATGTGTTTTTGTAACTTCCTTCAACAGATATTGCTGTATCTCAAGACTAAATGTCGTCTGTGCACTTTGATGTTTGACTGATCTGTTCTCTGTGAAAAATACTAGGGAGAATTTCTTATCACAATTTGTCAATGAACACTTAATCCACAAGCTTTGTCTCTTTTCTCTCAATAAATCCATTTCATAAAGGATGCATCCCATTCTGTTAACTCTTACCGTTGCTCATAATCTCTTGCTTTGAATCTTACCAAATGCCTTCTGGAAATCTGTAAAGACCTTGTCCTGGTCATTCGTTAACCGTTGTGTTAGTGACTTTTCAAAAAAAAAATGGAAATTCAAACAGATTATCCACAGTCGACCCTTCTCATTAATGTATTCTTTTGCACTGGTTATTCAATTGACCTGACCAAGAGGTAAATCTTGTCATCTCTGATAAACTTCAGCAAATTACCTAGAATTAATACATTGACAGGTCTATAGTTGAGTGTGTTTCCCTCACTCTTTCGCTCATGCTCTCTTCAATAATGGTGTGATGCTTGTATGCTGTCAATCCAAAGACCCTATTCCTTAACCTAGAGATTTTCAAAGTGATGGTTTATTTAGCTGCAGTTTATTTGCTGGCCTATTTTGGTACTGTGTGTGGTGGATGGGGATTTGTCTGTCTTAAGTTCCATTATTTTCTCTGGTACTATAGTGTTTTATTAATTTCAATAGGAAAGGATGGATCAACTATTACAGATGTTGCAGAGTGCTAACCCCACAGATGGTCAACCAGATTCACAAGAACTGCTTCATCTAGAAGGTGGGATAGCTGTATGATTTCTGTTATTAATTGCCCTGTTCCATAACGCATTAGCAAATGATAAAATAACAGTAGTATATTTAAATAGAGCGTTTGCAAATGATGTACCAATACTGCAATATTGATTTTAATTTAGCATTTGGAGTCTGAGTCAAACAAAATTTGACCACATAAGGGGGATATTAATCAGATGACTGCACACTTTGCTGGAAGAGTTAAGAAGGTGGAAAGGTTTAAAGAGAGAATTTGTGACTTGGGGACTAGGCAGTTGAAGTCATGGTTGCCAGTGGTGGAGTAATTAAAATTGGGGATAAGCAAGAGGCTTGAATTGTAGGAACGCAGAGATCTTGGCAGTTGAGAATAAGTTCTTCCAGCATTTGTAACCAGAGAGATGAGGAAAGAAGAGACCAGGAATGATAATTTTAAAATTAAACTTCTTGACCAAGAGTCATTGGAGGTCAGCAAGTATAAGGGCTTTGGGACTTGGTGTGAGTTAGGATATGGACAGACAGGTTTTTTGGATCAGCTGAAATTTATGGAGGGTATAAGATTTGAGATTGGCAGAAAGAATCAGAATAGTTAAGTGTAGAGGGGGAAAAGTGTGGTTTAGTGGGAACACATGAGTGATGTTACTGAGCTGGATGTAAATGGTTTCAGTGATGGTCAAAATTTCATTGCAGGGTTAAATAGAAGGATTAATTTGTGAAATTGTCTAAAACCAAAACAGACAATGGTCAGTGAGAATGATTGATAGAATTAGTGGTTAGTGGCTTTTGGAGTGGATCAAAGTCTATGGCTTTGCCCCCTCCAATATTTAATTGGAGTAATTGTTCATCCTGTACTGGATGCCAAACAGGAAGTGTGACAAATCCGAGGCAGTCTGGAGAGGTGCATGTAATCAACTTATACATGGAACCTGAAATTGTCATTTTGGCTGATATCTCCAGAGGGCAGTACATAAATGAGACATACCTACAGACTGAAATCCCAGCACAGATTAGGGGCAGCACGGTGGCTCAGTGGTTAGCACTGCTACCTCACAGCACCAGGGACCTCGGTTCAATTCCACCCTCTGGCAACTGTCTGTGTGGAGTTTGTACATTCTCCCCTTGTCTGCGTGGGTTTCTTCCGGGCGCTCCGGTTTCCCCTCTCAGCCCAAAGGTGTGTAGGCTAGGTGGATTGGCCGTGCTAAATTGCCCGTAGTGTTCAGGGGTGTGTAGTTTAGGTGGGTTATAGGGGAATGGGTCTGGGTGGGATGCTCCGAGGGTCAGTGTGGACATGTTGGGCCAAAGGGCCTGTTTCCACACTAGGGATTCTATGATCTTCTATGATTATGCTCGTTAATGATTATTTGTATAATATTTGTTATTAATGACCTGCAAACAGGAACAGAGTGTAACATAGCAAAATCCCCATTGATACATAGGTAGGAAAACAGGCTGTGGTGAGAAAATAGAGTTTACAGATGGATATTGACTGGCAAGGAGAGTGGGCCAGAATCTGGCTGATGAAGTTTAGGGATGTGGATAAGTGCGAGGTTGTCCGTTTTGGTCAGAAAAATAAAAAGGCAACTTATTATTACTAAAAGGTCAGATACAAAGTGCGTCAGTGCAGAGGGAACTGGGTATCCTTCTGCCTGAATCACAGGAAGTAGGTGTGCAGGTGCAGCGTGTAATAAGAAAAGTAAATGGAATCCTGGCAATTATTGCAGAAGGACTGGATTATAAAAGTAAAGAAGTATTGTCCGAATTATATAAGGCATTGGTGAGACCACACCTGGAGTATTATTCCCAGTTTTGGATCTTCTTACTTGGCACTGGAGGTAGCTCAGAGGAGGTTCACCAGATTGATTCCAGGGATGAAAAGGCTGTTCTGTGAGAAGTGGTTGATTAGCTTGGGCTTTAAAAGAATGAGCGGGCATCTGATTTTGAATTACACGACATGCTAAATGCGATTAATAAGGTGGATGTTGAACGTATGCTGCCCCTTGTAGGACAGTCTCAAACAAGAGGGCATAGATATAGAGTGAGAGGTGGTTGTTTCAAAACTGAGCTGAGGAGAAACTACTTCTCAGAGGATTGTGAATCTACGGAATTGGAGTTAATCAGCACATTAAAGAAAGAAATAGAGATGTTTCCGATGAAAAGCAAGATAAAGGGCTGTGGGGAGTTGGCAAGAAAGTGGAGTTGAGATCAAGATCATTTCAGCCATGATCATGTTATAAGGTGAAGCAGGCTCGAAGGGCTGAATTGCCAACGCCCGTTCCTAATTCCTATGTTCCTATTTATTACCATCTAATTAGTTAGTTTTAAACTTTTCCATTGCTCTGTTTATTCAATGCTGATCTTTTCTGCCTCACCCTATCTTGCCAGAAGCAAGTTTAGAAAAATATTTCTCCCATCTCTTAATCTTTCCCAGGTATCTGTCACCAAATGGGACCACTCATAGATCAGAAGTTAGAAGAAATTGACAGGTAAAAGTCTTATTTTCACAGTTTGTTCGTCGTTTCGTGCCATGCTGATGCTAACTTGTATTTTGCATATAACTAACAGACATGCTGCATAAGTCCTCGAGGCATGACTGTGCTATAGCAGAATAACCAGAGCAGGGTGTAGGAATTTGCTATGAAGCCCAGGTCCTCAGAATTTCAGACTTTTTTTTAAAAAAAACTTTCAAACATTAAAATACTGATGGTAGAGAGTTGCTTTTTGGACAGAAGACCTGTGACGAGCGGTGTGCTGCAAGGATAGGTGCTGGGTACACTGCTTTTTGTCATTGATATAAATGATTTGGATGTGAGTATAGGAGGAATGGTTAGTAAGTTTGCAGATGACACCAAAATTGATAATGTAGTGGACAGTGAAGAAGGTTATTTCAAAATACAGGAGATCTTGATCAGATGGGCTCGAGGGAGAGGCTGAATAGGCTTGGGCTTTTTCTCTTGAAGAGGAGACAATGCTAGCAAGGTGACCTTGGCCTTTTAAAAACTGAAACAACTGCGGAAGCTGTAAATCAGGAACAGAACCAGAAGTTGCTAGAACAACTCAGGCAGCATCTGTGAAGAAAAATTAGAGTTAACGTTTTGGGTCCGTGAACCTCGGTTCTGAGGAACGGTCACCGGACCCAAAACGTTAACTCTGATTTTTCTTCACAGATGCTGCCAGACCTGCTGAGCATTTCCAGCATCTTCTGTTTTTGACCTCGTCATTTTGCTTCCTATGCCCCTTTCCATTGCCCTATTTTTATCCTGGTGGCAGAGGACTACCTGGAGATAAGTCTCCCTAATGGCAGTCAATTGGAAAAGCAGCAACAGAACATTCTGTTTTCAGATGGATGTGTAAGTTATTGCAATGAAGTTGTTTGTCTGGACTCATTCTACCTCGTCTCTGAAAGGTAGATGTCCAGAGATTGCCTGGTGCTTGTTTCCTTAACGCAGATGATGCTATTCCATGAAATGTGATGACTGGAAAAGACGATTGTTTCAGAATCTCATTTCACCACCTTCTGTCAGTGGAAGGGAGCTTGAAAACTCTCAGGCCCACCAATTTTTAATTGTACATGCTGCAATGTCCTGGACTAACTTTTATGCCTGTTTATTGAAATTTTAGGAAACACTCTGAACTATCGGATTTAAATGTGAAAGTGATGGAGGCTCTATCCTTGTATGCTAAGTTGATGAATGAGGATCCGATGTATTCCATGTATGCTAAACTCCAGAGCCAACAGTATTACATGCAACCATCTTCTGTAGCGGTTTCTCAGGTGTGTTCCAAGTTATTTATAGTAACGAAAAAATTACTGTGGCAGTGCATTCTTGTTCTTGCTCTAATAAGGATTTTTGATACACTTTTTCCTGAGCACTTAGTTTCTTTTCAGGTTTTAAATAAAATATCATTTTAATTGCCAAATTAGGTAATCTGATATTGTGCTTTTACCACACCGACTGTCAGACATGAATATCCAAAACAATTTGGGGAGAAATGCTTGAACAGCAGTAATTCTTTTTGTATGGCAGTTGATGTTATTGAAACTTAATCAATATTGACTCAGCGGAACTGCTTTCTGCCTGTATCGTTTGTACTGACTTGGATCACGATAGGTGGATCTTGCCCCTCCCACTTCTTCCAAGGAAAACATTCCAGCCGTTTTAATTTCTTCACATAATGGATCTGCTTATCCCTGGCATAATTCTGGAAAATCTCCACTGCATCCCTTCCAAATTCTTGGTAGTCTTGCTGAAGTCGTCTGCCCAACACTGGGCACCATACTAAACTGAGGCCCAGCTAGTCATTTATCAACGTTTAACTTAACTTCCTTAGTTTTGCCCTCTTGTCTCTGTTTATAAAGCCAGAAACTGAAATCTTCTTTGTTTTGTGTTTAAAAACTTCATCTGGTGTATTAGTCCACAGAGCAACCAGAGTGACAAATCCTTCCATGTCATCAACTCTAGTTGTCATCATTGGGGAAATTCTTTTATCATTTGTTTTGCAGTCTTTTAAAATGATAAGTTGTATTCATGTATGCATTAATATGCTATTAAGCACTTCATGCATTGTACTTTTGAAATAGAATTACTTAACTGTTGGCAAATATGGCACCAAACTTATACAAAGTAAGATCCCTTCCACATGATTGTTCGCTTAAGCTGATTTAAGGGGTGCTGTTTGAACGTTTACCAGAGCACTGGAATATGCCCTACTCTTAAAATGGTTCCAGGACAGCCATCGGAATGGGCAGGTACAACATTGGCTAAATATTTTATCTGAAAGACTACAGCTCATCCAGTGCAGCACACCTTCAGTACAGCATTGAAATGTGAGCCTAGATTATTTTCCTAATCCTCATGTGGTTATGAATACAACCTTCTGAGTAAGGTGAGAGTGCTTCCAACTCTGCTAAATTGAAACATATTTTGGTTACCTTTTGCTCGTTTTTATTTTTGTTCTGTTGTTTCAATTTATAGGAGTGACATTTTACCCAAAGAGGCACATCTGGCGCCTGTATAACTCTGTAATGAATCTTGTAACCTAATTGTGCTTGGCTGCCTGAATCCTTTGCTGCTGCAAATACTCTGTTTACAGACTAGAAATGTTTACCGTTCAGAAGATACCATTCTGTTGCAAAAAAATTTTAAAAATGCTGCTTCTCTTAGTATGCTTCAATACTAAAAATACATTCTAAAGTGTTTGTTTAATTCTACTTTAAACACTGTGTGTAGGTATATACCGGACAGCCTCCAAGTGGTGCATATGTAATATCTGGAACACCTCAGTTGGCTTCAGGCCAGGGGTACAGTATTCCATCAGATCAAGTTCCATCTCTCAGTCAAGCTGGTCTACCACTAACTGTTAGCTCAGCCCTGTCCAGCCAGCAAGCTCCAACATCGTATACCAGGTAAGTGATAATTAATATGCACCATCTGTTCTAACCCATTTTCCATCTGATATTTTTCATGTCCATTGCAAAACTAAACAGCTGTGGATCATTTTCAGCCATTGCATATGTTAATTGCTAATTTGAAGCTTTGTGCAATAATATGAATATATAATTAATTACTTTCGAACACTTGCAGACAAAGGTTTTGTGTTTAAAAGAAAATGTCTAAATATACCCAATAGCCAAGTTCCGTACCCATGAAGACAGCCTCAACCGTGATCTTGGGTTCACGACGAACTACATATGACTCCACCACACTGTTCTGTATCTGTAAAATCTTCCTTACTGTCCTTCCTGTTTTGACATCATCACCTTGATAAGTTGTTATGATCTCTCTACCTTAATTAGTTTGTACAGTTTTGGATGACTTATTACTTTGGCTAGACCCTCGGCTCATGACTCTTACACCTATTATGTTATTCCATTCATTTGGTTTGTCTTCAGCAACAACTTTATTTTTAATTTTTTGTAATTATCTCTCTGCTTCATTTAATCGAATTATAGGTCATCCCTTCACTTGTTATTCAGCTGTTGACACTTTACTCACACTGTCTGACACTCTTGATCACTTGTCAACGCCTATTATTTGGCCTGTTGACACTCCGCTCATACCATTTTTATGATCTTTTGATCTCTCTGCTTATAAATTTCATGCCTGTGTGCTTCTTTCTCGTTTCACCTGATGAAGAAACAACACTTCTTCGAAAGCTTTGATTTCAAATAAACCTGTTGCTCTATAACCTGGTGGTGTCTGATTTCTGAACTTGTCCACCCCAGTCCAACACCGGCACCTGCACATCAAATTTGTGTGGTCTTGTAAATATCTTCAACTCGGAATAAAAGAACCTCGGATCCATTTGTTTGGGTTGTTGGCTGTATATTTCTGGTACAATGCACTATTAGTAATAAAAGATCTGTGGATTAATTTTAAACATTAGTGACTTTGTTTAAATACAGCTGGTTTTAAGGATGCCACTAATTAAATTAAAAATACAAATAAAATACAATAAGTGCTTATAATTTAAAGTATACTAATTACTGTAAGTCTTCAGGCACTGAAAATGTGTAATTGTAAATTCAGATCTAACATCCTTGCTGGTTTGTCAGCTTCTTACAATTTTATATACATAACTTGAGTGAAGGAATCAAAAGTGTGGTTGCTAAATTTTCTGAAGATACAAAGATATGTAGAAAATGAGTTGTGAAGAGAACGTGAGACTGCAGAGGGATATAGACCGGTTAAGCGAGTGAGCAAAGATCTGGCAATTGTGGGAAAATATGAAATTGTCTATTTTGACGGGAAGAATGGTGAGAGATTGTAGGACTCTATGCAGAGGGACATGGGTGTCATGAATGAATTGATGTTCATTGTGAGAAGAACTGAATGCAAAAGCAGGGGTACTTGTGCATGAACCATAGAAAGCTAGCACACGTGTGCAGCAGGTAATCAGGAAGGGTAATGGAATGTTAGCCCTTATTTCAAGGGCCTTGGATTATAAGAGTAGGGATGTCTTAACGATAACTATACAAGGTGCTATTGAGGCAACAGCTGGAGTACTGTGATAACAAGGTGTAGAGCTGGATGAAAACAGCAGGCCAAGCAGCATCAGAGGAGCAGGAAAGCTGATGTTTCGGGTCGAGACCCTTCTTCAGAAATACTGTGAGCAGTTTTGGTCCCCTTATTTAAGAAAATATATTATTTCTTTGGACAAATTCAGAGAAGGTTCACCAGGATGGTCCCAGGATGGCTGGATGTCTTATGAGCAAAGATTAAACCGGTTTGGGACTCTACTCACTGGAATTTTAGAACCATGGGAGGTGATCTCATTGAAACATATAAGATTCTTAATTGGCTTGACAGAGAAAATGCTGAGAGGATGTATCCCCTCATGGGAAAGTCTAGGACCAGAGGTCACTGGTGGCAGCGTCTGGAGGGGTCTCAGAAGGGAAGCAGGTGGTGTGAGACCAGGCTTATGGCTCCAGCTCAGGTGGGAGTGGTGACATTGGGGGCGGGCCCATAATGGAGACTGCAGGGCTCATAACGGAGACCCTGGCAAATGTCAAGCAGACTCTATTGCAATAAAATCTTCATATATTCAGTGTTTCCAGATGATGCTGGAGCATGGCGATGCTTTGCATGTGAAAAAACACTTTTCCCTGTTTCTTTTTATATACATGTGACTCTAAATCTAAAACCTAAATAGTCTCAGAATTAAGGAGTACCAGTTTAAGATTGAGATTAGGAGGAATTTCTTCTGAGTGTTGAGAGTCTTTGGAGTACCTTGCCACGGACAGCTATGGAGGCAGAGTCCTCCTGTATATTTAAAGCTCAGATTCTTGAGCAGTAGGGGGAATCAGTAGGTGAATCAAGGTTTATGGGGAAAAGCCAGGAAAGTGGATGTGAGGAGTGCAGAGCAGTTTCGAAGGGCTGTGCGGCCTACTGTTGTTCCAATTTTTATGGTCTTCTATTCCCTCAAGAAATGAAGAAAAACTGTTATACTGTTTCAGTAAATCGATCTATTGCATTTTCTTCGCCGGATTGCATGAGTTATATATGTGCAAGTGCACAATATATATTTCTAGAACCTGTATTTTTCTTGTGAATTCCAGTAATGTTTTGTGCACTGTTATGCTTCTTGCAGTAAAATGATAAGCATTCCTATACAATAAATGAAACAACAACATAGGATTGGCATTAAATTCTAGATGCATGTTATTACATTCCTTTAGATAGTATCATTGACCACAGATATTTACTAATTTATTTGGCCAAGAGGGAGCTCTGAACCTTCCAAAGTGGTATTTAAGATAGGGAGCAGGTAGAGGAAATTTTGGGCACAGGGACATATGCTATCACTAAGGGCTTTTGTGGTACAGTGGTAGTACCTCTGAGCCAGGAGACCTGGGTTTCAAGTCCCACCTATCCCGGTGTTAGTAAGAACCGCCGATGCTGGAGTCCGAGATAACAGTGTGGAGCTGGAGGAACACAGCAGGCCAGGCAGCATCAGAGGAGCAGGAAAGCTGACGTTTCGGGTCGG